CATATCCGGATTTCGACAATTAATGTCTCTTCAGTGATGTTAGGAATCGAAACGGTATTTGGAAGGCCATATAATTTACCTCAATTTGGGATTGACTCTTGAATTTTGAAGAGTCGAAATAGGATGAACGGATCATATAAACCCGAAGGCAAATATAATACAAGCCCAAACGAAAAAATATAAACAAGTCTAAATTGAAAACAACGTTCAAACCTATGATTGCGTTGGATAAAAACCGCAATTTTTATACGTGTGCATGCAAAACAAATTTCTTGGTAGAGGGGTCTAAATACAGCACAAACAACATTTTCCAAAAGACCAAAAAGTGAAAAAGTATATTTTAACAAAACGCATTTGACTAGCAGGTCGAACAATGGATATATATATATATAGGTGTTTTAACAAATTTTTAGTGCAAAATAAGTAATAATATCAAAAGTTTTCACCTTACAACAGTTATACAAATAGATCTATAAAAAATAACAGGGTAAGTTATGGAATTGGCAAAAGGATTATTTTTCAATCAAAATCTATGAACATTTTTGTAACCATTGTAACAAAAAACTAATTAAGACCTGTGGTAAATAAACTAAACTCATAGATACATGTACCAGACTTAAAATTTTGCATGCCAGACACTCTTTCTGTCTACAAAAGACTCATCAGTGACGCTCGAATAAAAAAGCTAAAATTCCTTGAATGTGCATCAAATGTTTTCACCTTGGTACAATGTGTGCAATTTTTTACCAATAAAAAATAGAGATTCTACGCGATCGCATCGATTATGATTTAATCTTTCTCCTCTTGGGACAGTTTAGAAATGCATGGCTTGTCAATAATGTAGAAATATAGTATTGCACAAGATATAGTGGTGGTATAATCTGTTTCTGTTTTAATGAAAGAACACAATCTTTTTCCTTCCCAATGATCTGCAAAAAGATCGTGTTCTTTTTGTGAGACCTCATTTAGCATGGTAATCTTTTTCATAATGTCACATATAAATATAGGTATCATTTTCCACCATCCTTCATTACATTTTCTCCAAACATGCCCAAAGCAGCAGTACATTGTATATGGATAATGATCTAATGAAAAAGAGAAGTTGGTTTTCATGGTTTTATGCTGGTTTTTTTTTACAGTTGAATTAAGGATGTACACCTCTGAGGAGCCAAAAATTTCTAGAATTAAACTTTTTTTCTTAACCTGATTTTTGGGTTTATATGACTGTAAAAAAATAATTTGTGAAGAAAAAATCATATGGTGGTCCACTTCTTTTTTTGCTACGGCCCTTTGAAAGTACCCAATTTTGATGATTTTCCCATTTTTCATCAATTTTTACCCATTTTTGGGCTATTATCGTGAAAAAAATCACAGTTCCACAATTAAACTTTTTTTCATACTTTCAATAAAGATGTAGTGGACCAATCTGAATAAATTTAACTTAAAAAAACTATAGGTAGGTGTTAATATAAGAAAGTTTTATCATATTTTGATGCTTTTTTGTGTCAAATTTACCATGCTGTCAGTTTTGTAAATTTGTGATTTCTCTCTATTTTAAGAACAAAATGCATATTATTTCAACTTCTTTGTTATAAATGATTGAAAAAATACATATCTAAGAAATTTGAAAAGAAAAAAGTGATATGGGATGTACATGTTTCTGGTATAATCATTTCTTGCACCCCTCACCCATTTTCTCAAAATTTTGGCTAAAAAGACTGACTTGATTGGTAATAAAATTTGAAAAATTTATTACTCAAAAACCACTTATTGTAAATACACAATTTTTTCACTGAGTTAAGTTTGATTATAACATTTTTTAAATTCATTGATATTTTCCACTTGTATCACATGTTTTGGAAATAATTCCAGAATGAGATTTCAACAAGACTGAAACGTCAGAAGAATACATCCTTAAGAAATCTATACAAAATAACTTGGTAGGGGTAGGTACATGCAGACTCAACAAGCTTCTAAAAATTAAGTATTCTATCGAACAAATCAGTTGGGTAAGTACAAAAAAAATGTATCATTGTATGTACGCCAATTTCACTTTATACTTTTTTTTAATTCTAATTCTTTAATTGCCTACAGCCAGAAGGCAAGATATTTTTTTTCCAGATTATGAGATAACAAGTTTTGATCATATAACTTTATATTCCTATACATATATTTAAGATATTGATTGATACAATCTAGACACATTTCACTGTTACAGTATTTTAAAAATACCATTTAGAAATGTTATGATAATGAAAGACTTTAACGCAGGAATGAGTACTGAAAAAAGATTACATCCTATACCTTATCTAAGCATATCCTTTTAATTTTTTTCTCTATAACTTATATTTTCTCATTATTCTCTTATTTTTATCTAGATATATTCTGTATTTTTTTTGCCTTTTTTTCTCTTTTCTTCATTTTTTCCCCCCATATTTCCCTGTTCTATTTTTTGCCATTTTTCTGTATTCTTTTTATTTGTTTGCCCCTTTTTGTCAATTCTTAACTTTTTTTGCACATTATTCTCTGATCTGTTAAGGTGGTACATAACACTACAGGGGGATAACTCTGTAAAAATCAGCTGAACGTTTTAATCACGTTCTATTGTTAAGGAAATATTAAGCTTCTCAATGATCAAAATTAGTGTTTGTCAAACTGCTATATATCCAATGAAATTTCTCCGATAAAGTGTGTGGTTCAAGTTTTTTTGAATTTTTTATATATTTGTCAAAGGGTCAAAGTAAACATTTTGTCAAAATTTTATGAAAATTAAACGAGCCAAATTAATTTTAGTCAAGGTGTTTGGTACCACCTTAACCCAATCAAGACCATCATATATGGCAAGATGGCTCTGCAGAATATATATCAGAATGTCTTAACGATTTTTGCTGCTGAAATTGAAATATATTAAACAGTATTATATAATATGATTGACTGATTGTTTTTGTTTTTAACATCCAGTGGCAAATGTTTCATAGATATTTGGGACAAGGAGTTTATAAGAATATAGGGTATGGCCTTTAAAAAGTTTGGGATCAGTCAACAAAATGGGTTATAAATTTATTGTGCAAAAAAGAACTATTTTGAATTATCAAAAAGTGCAAATGATTGAATAAAATGAAATGGCTTTAGGTTAGAAACTCTGGATATCTGATTGTTGATGATTTTGATAACTTAGAAGATGGTGGTTTTCAGATGGTTCAATCTAGCAACTTATTCATTTCCTGGACAAGTTGTCCACCAAAGGTTTTGCTTGTATTTGAATTCTAAAATATGCAGATTTCATTATTTTTGCAAAAATAAATAGACATTTATTTTATTTCTAACAGATTACCATAACCAATTTGGCTGACTAGTCCCAATCTCAGCCTAGGCCCTATTATTCTGTACAAAATGTTTCATAAGAAATTCAGGCTTTTATGATAATAAAACTAATAAAGTACTGTGTGTAAAATGTATATATATGGGGGGGTAGGAGGGGTCCTGATCATGAAATCCCGGGCTTAAAAACATGGAATCCAAAAATTTAAATCCCGACATCCCGAAATGCGAAAAAAGAATTCCCGGACCCCGAAAGGATCAATCCCAAAATCCCAAGCTTAAAAACACCCGATCCCGGAGTCCCGATAAAGGTCCTACCCCCCCCCCATATATTGTCAATTACAAAAATTTCAGAACACGTTTTTAATACCTGAAGAGTGCTAGCAAGTATTAATTTTTAAAATAAATGTTGTCAAAAAAAAAAAAGAAACATAAATTCAATAAGGATGTGAATCCATTTGATAAATATGAAAATAACCTGTTAATGCCAATAAGTCTTAAAATGTAAATGTATATACATGTAACCACTCTTTATTGCTGAAAATTTATGTTTAATTTTAGTATGTTTTAATTTTTATTTTTGACTGAGTTACCCATTGGATTTTTTTCAATGATTGAAATCTCAGAGTGAGTAGATTGAAATAAGGATTTCACAATAAGGGGCTGCTTGCTCAACCCACCAAATAGCAAAAGGGGAATAAATCAGTTCCTGAAATGATTAAAGAGGGGCCTGATGGGGGGGGGGGGGGCTCATCACGATTCACGAGTTGATTTTTTTGTCAATCACTATTCACAGAAAATAAATTTCCATGATCATGGATCACGAAAATATAAAAAAAAAATAAATCTGTAGAAAAACGGATCACGATAGCGAAAATGCACCGATCACGAAGAACGAAAATAACCCATCAGGCCCCTCATTAGATATTAATAAACTCTGACAAATCAGGAATATTTTTCTATTAAAAAACTAAATGCAGAAAATTTTCCCTGAAAATAGTATAATAACAATATAGTCAATATATTATGTCCCAGCTTTTTCTATAGATGAAAAGTCCTAAATTGTGATTTACTGAGATTTAAATTTAAAAACCTGTGAAAACTTCTAAAAGTTGGGTTTTTTTTTAAAGGAGACTATATATATATATAAAAAGACTATGGCCTTTTAAAACCAAGCATTATAAAAATTAATATGGTACTCAAGAAAGGTATGAGATTTGTTCCATTTTCTATAAAAAAACATGCCATTCAGTTTACTTTCAAAAAATATGGCGGGTTGTGCACAACCTGGAACTGAAATGACCTGTGCGTGCATATTTGTCAGTTGTGGGGTGGTTTGCAGAGAAATAAACATAATGCCTTTCTCTGACCATATCTTTGATATGATCTTAGACAGGTTTCATCTTTTCTATAGGACGAATAATCTATCGCACAAATTATGTAGTCCTCAGCTTCAGTGGATATGAATTACCACGCAAATTCTAAATTAGTGGACAAGGGGAGACAACACAGATTGAATAACACAGGTAACAAAAGGGAATTACCCTAAAAATTCTTGTGACGGTTTGTTTCTAAATTTAGCGTTTACAAATCATAAACACTACCTATATTTGTGGGAGTTTGCACATGTCGGTGAGTATTACCAATGAATAATTTCTAAAAATATCACTGTTAGTTACACAATAATTACCAAAGGTTACATGCACGCTTCCTACACATGAAATAAAATCTCTGTAAAGAATATTATATAAGGATCTGCTGGATATTTATGATGATTCATAACAGAAGTGTTGTAGATAGTCAAAGAGCTCTTCTTCCTGTTAAAGAATATTATGCCAACTAAATGTGAGTTATCATGGTTGTGGAAATCATTTATGCGATTTTCTTTAGAACTGTGTGCCAATTCAGGAGGTTATGTTGACTTAAAACTGAGCATCAATAAAACCTTTTATTTATTTGATTTTGTTAGAAATTCATTTATTTTGGCCTTTCAATCTTTTCAGCTCCTCAAATACCTTCCTGTTGTTGGTTTTCTTTTTTTTAATGGCTTCTTTTCACCTATTCAAGATCATGTTTTGTCTGTGTATTCATTTCAATTTTTTGTTTTGATTGTGTTTTTAAAAATACATTTAGCTCCAATAGACAGTAAATATAATAGACTTCTTGTAACAAATTAATGGTCTATACACCTTATCGCTATTTGTCTCCCATTACTGGACATCACACAAGTTCCCGTAAAATTTTGACATCATAATAGAAAATGTCTGACGCCACAATGGAAAAGTGATTGTTGTATGACGTCAAAAGTTCGAGCGGGACAGATTCTCGGGTCAAGCGGGAATAGCGATAAGGTGTATTACTAAGCACTGTTAGTTTATTACTAAAGTTATTGCCATATCTGATAATTCCTTAAGTTACAAAAGTATTACAAAAACCAATAATCAGTATTGTTTAGTTACATTTAAGCCTAAAATTTTACTTGAGCCCCTATTTATTTTAATCTAGGTTTAAATAAGGATTTGTATAGTACTATACAAATCCTTGGTTTAAATTTCTGTCATACTTCTCAATTTCCTGGAAAACCCAAAAAATATTTAAAAAGAAACAGAGCAATCTTTTACAGGGAACTTATACATGATCTATTAATAATTGTTTGTACCTGATTATATACTTAAGGAAGTTTAATTTGAAATTTGGATGCAAATTCCATCAATATTCAATTTAATTTAAGATGTCACATTTGTGCCTTCATTATTTGACTTGAAAATTATAACAAAATATGTATGATCAGTGTTAAATAACCTGATGATATATATGGTAAGTAACATGTACATTTACTAAAACTATTTAATTAGTTGATTATAAGTTTTCTGTGTTATGTTTTGATACTGTTGTTTGTCTTTTTGTTTGTTTTTTTTTGGCCATGCATGGTGTTGTAATTGTCTGTTTTTTCTTACTTGTGATTTTCAATTGCAACGTTAGTATCTTTTCTATCTTTTTATTTAGTGAAGACAAGATCTTAAATGTCAAAGGTTTTCTGAGTTTTTAATCAAGTTTAAGAAGATGTAGTTCACTTGTTGTGACTAGCATTTTTATGGAAAGGTGTATGCACATAGTTTTATGATATAGTTGAGACTGGCATATGTGACCTGCCATGACATTTCCAGGCTTATGGTGATAAACCTCTTATTAATAATGAGAAAACGTCAATGTAAAGTCACATAACTAAATTGGGGCACCAGTTATTGAATGTCCAATTATATCATGCGGTAAAATAAAGTCTAATTTTTTCTTGACTTGAAGAAATTTGAATCTTATATCATGTATATAGACATGATAGAGATATACAAAACAAGTAGATTTTACGTAAAATTATTAATTTAGGTTAAAATCCCGTTCAGAATCGCGTTCTAAATTCATACAATTTATCTTTTAAATTTCACAGCATTGATCTGAATTAATTCTTAAAGGGGCCATAAAATAAACTTTTGTATATCATTATAGGCATTTCAAAGTGCAGTGTTTAAATTTTTCTCTAATTCATTACCAATACGGATTGCAGCATGAACACCAAGTTTGGAGTAAATCTCATTGTTTCACATTGTAAGGGAAAATATGTACATATGTATGGACATAAACCGGTACATGTAAATCAAGCAAGATATGCCTGCCCATTAGGATCCTAATAGCATGAATAGTGTCTCATCCCATTTTCGTTCATATGGTTTTTTTTTTTTTTATCTATGCCTGACTTAGAACTACTTAAACAAGATGTATGTGTTGTTAAAAGTTTTCTTATATCCCTTTCACCTGCATGCCCTAATATTATTGATCATGTTGTTTGATTTTTCATCTTACTCTACATTAACAGATTTAATGACTTTATTAGGATACATGTACAAAATGTATTCACAATAATATATATATATGAACATTAGAAAGCATATTAAATAATACACAGCTCCTTGATGGTTTATATATATCCTTGTATTCACTTTCTTAGCATTGTTGCTAGGACTATTATACTAATGTTAGTATAATAGTCCCAGATTGATGTTACTACATGTAAGTTTCCTTAAGAAAAAAGAAAAATGTTTAAATGTTTAGGTCATCATTATTTAGATTGCAGATTCCAGTGCATTATTGCCTTGGCACCCGAATAGTTGATACATGTATATTGAAATAAAATTTCTTTAGTTATTTAGTTATTAAAGCTACAATTACATTTTGATCAATTAAAAAAGATTACCCCCCCCCCCCCTCCCCCCCCAAGCAAACAGAAAACAATAAAAAACAAAACAATATGACAAGTTTCAAAGATAACTATAATATAGATGAACATACATGTGAAAAATTGAAAATAAAATGAAAATTTTCAATAAAATCGAAAGTAACAAAAATGACCATTACCCAGTATTCTGTTATTTTGCAGAATCTAACAAAATAATCTGTCAGGGTGTTCTGAATCTATGTATACTTCATAAAAATGCAAAAATCTAATTTTGACCCTAGTACCTCCATAAGCCTGAAAATCTCATGGCTGGTCACATATATGGAAAAGATTTTTGGATGTGGTTTTAACTGTAGCTGAAGTTTTTTGAAGTTTGACCATATTTTAATTTAATGTATTTAGTGCATGTGGTATTATATATGATTTTTAATGTTAAGTTGTTCTCTTAGCTAGCTCATTGCTATTGAAAACTCCATAACTCATTTCTGACATTTCAAATTGGCAAATTAAGAATGGTTTTATATCTTTAACCACTAATAAGCATTGTAACAGGAACATCTACTGCTGTATAAACACAAAGTTATTGTCACTTTTTTCCCAAACTTATACATTCTGTTAGTTTGACAATCATATTGAGACCTTATACATAAATAAAGAATGTCTTACATTAGCAAAACATCCATGAGGGTACATTGTTTGTACCTTTTATCATATACCTTCTTGAACACCTGAGATTACCCCCTTTTTTTTGGTGGGGTTATATGTGTAGCTCAGCTTTTAGTTTTCTACGTTGTGTTTTACAGACTTTTTTTTGTTGTTTGTAAATTTTTTGTTTTCTTCCACGACCTTGTTCGTTTGTCTTTGACTTATAAGTTTGAATATCCCTTAGGCATATTAATTCCACCTCTCCTCTTCCAAATAGTCAGTGAATAAAAGTATTGGCATGAATGAAATAATTCATCAAATTTTGTCTGCGCAAAACTCCATTTCACAAAATTATGCAATTGTGCTTAAGCTAAGGTTGCAACTCTGTGAGAGGAAGTTGAACTTATTCCATTTTTTATGGCCTCGCCGTAGCGGTGGGGGCATTAAGTTTTACCCTGGTCCGTCTGTACGTACGAATGTACGTCCCAAAATTGGTTTCCGTTCTCTAACTTATTTTGCCTCAACCAAATGTTATGAAACTTATACACAATGCTTATTACCACAAAACACAGATCAAGTTTGAATTTTGGTGGCGTCACTCTAGAGTTATGCCCCTTTATAAATGGAAAAATTGCCAAATTTTTATTTTCATCTAAATACCAAGTAATTTTTAAATTGGAGTTATATTCCTTTGTCCCTGATTATAGTTGAATCAACTACAATCAATACTTTATACAATGCAATGTTCAATTTTGACTTCCACTGATAAAACACAGATCAAGTTGAATTTGGGTAGTGTCACTTTAACCATTATTGAGTTATGCCCCTTTATAAATCGAAAGATTGCTGAATTTTTCATTTCCGTTCTCTAACTTTAGTTTGTCTCAACCAAATGTTATAAAACTTATATACACAACCGTTCTAGAGGTATGCGTGTTTACAAATAGAAAAATTGCTGAATTTTTCGTTTCTGTTCTCTAACTTAAGTTAGCCTCAACCAAATGTTATGAGACTTACACACAATGCTTATTACCACAAAACTCCGATCAAGTTCAAATTTGGGTAGCGTCACTTTTACCGTTCTTCAGTTATGTCCCTTTATAACTATATAATATGCAAGCGGGGGCATCATCTGTGTCCACGTGTGGACACAATCCACATTTATTTTCTATTCTTTTCAGGCTCATGAATGTTGCATGTGCTCTAGCTCCCAAAAATTATATTTTTGGCTTTCCAAACTTTTGATCTCTAGCGTACCTGCTGAAGATTATAAAAGTACCATATGTTGTGCACACATAAAATCATATTCTTTTTATTTATCATTCTAATTAATGCACTCATATAAAAAGGGGGCATGTCATTTGTTGTCTTTAGATTTTAAAGTGTAACAGACAATATAATGGGTTGTTTTCTCATTTACATATACTGTAAATTCAGAAATTATTGCGTGCATTTATTATTACGATTTTTGAAAAATTAACAAAAATGCGAGTTTAACTATTGCAAATTTTGGAAAAGCTACATACAGATATATGTATTTTAAATCAGACTGTGAGTTTTTATACGACCGCAAAAAAATTTTGTGGTCGTATATTGGTATGACGTTGGCGTCGTCGTCGTCGTCGTCGTCGTCGTCCGGCGTCGTCGTCCGAATACACATTGGTTTTCGCACTCTAATTTTAGTTTAAGTGAATGGATCTTTTTGAAATTTGACCATAAGGTTAAATACCACAAAAGGAAGGTTGGGATTGATTTTGGGGGTTATGGTACCAACAGTTAAGGAATTAGGGGCCAAAAAGGGGCCAAAAATGAGCATTTTCTAGTTTCCAGACAATAACTGTGGAACGGTGTATGGATCTCTCTGAAATTATACTACAAGTTTCCATACCACAAAGAGATGGTTAGGATTTGCTTTGGGGGGTTATGGCTCAAACCGTTTAGGAATTAGGGGCAAAAAAGGGGGAAAAACAAGGTTGTCCTGGTTAATGGACAAATACTTTAGTACAAAACATAATTTAAAGCAGTGTAAGGGAGATAAATCAAATACATCATTGAAATTATCTCCCTTACACTGCTTTTAAATTATGTATAAAGTAATGGTTAATGAACAATAAAGATAATCTTAAACAGTGTAAGGGAGGTAATCCAAATACAACGTTTTGGTTACTTCCCTTACACTGCTTTTAAATTATGTTTAAAGAAATGCATATTTATAAAGGAAGACCAGTAAAAATATCTGCAAATGTTGCACCTTTTTTTTTTACAAAAAAATCCATATGAAAGATTTGACACTATATTTTTATTAATTCTATTATAAAATAGATTAAGTTAGCACTATGGTAAATTTAAATGGGTAATTATGGTTGCCAACTCCATTGGAAATTTGAATTGAGATTATGACCATATCTTGAGGGAAAGAATTTTTTTGGGGGAAAAAGGGGGGGGGGGATAAAAAGAAATTATGGGGGGCCAATTTTTTCTCATTTCAGATTTCAGAAATTAAAAAGAATTATTCTTCAAATATTATTTTTTTTTCAAATTTCAAATATTGAAAAATTAAGAAGTAATCTTGAATTGCACAGTATGGCGCATTAGATTTGTAAAATCTTTGATCACATTTATTTATTTGTTATGCCGAATCTAACAGTGTATTTAGATTTTTAATTTTTTGTCCAGTTTTCAAATTGGTCTACATTAAGGTCCAAAGGGTCCAAAATTAAACTTTGTTTGATTTTAGCAAAAATTGAATATATGAGGTTCTTTGATATGCTGAATCTAAACATGTATTTAGATTTTTGATTTTTGGCCCAGTTTTCAAGTTGGTCCAAATTTGGGTCCAAAATTAAACTTTGTTTGATTTCAACAAAAATTGAATATATGGGGTTCTTTGATATGCTGAATCTAACCATGTATTTAGATTTTTTATTTGTGGACCCCGTTATCAAATTGGTTCATATTGAGGTCAAAAGGGTCCAAAATTAAACTTTGTTTGATTTCATCTAAAATTGAATTATTGGGGTTCTTTGATATTCCAAATCTAACCGTGTATTTAGATTTTTAATTTTGGGTCCCGTTTTTTAAATTGGTCTACATTAAGGTCCAAAGGGTCCAAAATTAAACTTAGTTTGATTTTAACAAAAATTGAATTCTTGGGGTTCTTTGATATGCTGAATCTAAACATGTGTTTAGATTTTTGATTATGGACCCAGTTTTCAAGTTGGTCCAAGATAGGGTCCAGTATTTAAACTTTGTTTGATTTCAACAAAAATTGAATATATGGGGTTCTTTGATATACTGAATCTAAACATGTATTTAGATTTTTGATTATGGGCCCAGTTTTCAAGTTGGTCCAAATTGGGGTCCAAAATTAAACTTTGTTTGATTTCAACAAAAATTGAATATATGAGGTTCTTTGATATGCTGAATCTAACCATGTATTTAGATTTTTTATTTGTAGGCCCCGCTATCAAATTGGTTCATATTGAGGTCAAAAGGGTCCAAAATTAAACTTTGTTTGATTTCATCAAAAATTGAATTATTGGGGTTCTTTGATATTCCAAATCTAACCGTGTATTTAGATTTTTAATTTTAAGTCCCGTTTTTTAAATTGGTCTACATTAAGGTCCAAAGTGTCCAAAATTAAACTTAGTTTGATTTTAGCAAAAATTGAATTCTTGGGGTTCTTTGATATGCTGAATCTAAACATGTGTTTAGATTTTTGATTATGGGCCCAGTTTTCAAGTTTGTCCAAGTTGGGGTCCAAAATTAAACTTTGTTTGATTTCAACAAAAATTGAATATATGGGGTTCTTTGATATGCTGAATCTAACCATGTATTTTGATTTTGGACATTGGACCATAATAGGTAAATTAAAAAAATTCAAGTTCTTAGACCACATTCTTTCTGTGTCAGAAACCTATGCTGTGTCAAATATTTAATAACAATCCAAATTCAGAGCTGTATCAAGCTTGAATGTTGTGTCCATACTTGCCCCAACTGTTCAGGGTTCGACCTCTGCGGTCGTATCTCATTTTATTATTATTGCAATACTCAAATAGTCGCGTTATTCGCATTAATAAAAACCTCGCAATAATTTCTGAATTTACAGTACACAATCTTCTTTTTTTCAACATGGATATCTTCCTGAACATGTCTGAAAAAATATGCTTTCAACATGCATTATTTATTCATATGCATTGAAGTTTGATAAAAAGCTTTTATAAAAAGTTTTCCTAGTGAAATCCAGCTTCCTTCCCCAATGAAAATTGACCGCCATGATATAGCCAAGTGTGCTGAAAGTGGCATTATACATATTCAGTATTGGTACATCTATTTTCATCCCTTGTGGTTTCATTTTTGTATGGCCAGGCAACTTAACCAATGAACGATTGGTTTTTCAAGGAGAAATTTAAAGTTCCCATTGAATGAACTCCACAGAGAATAATAACTTAGCCTATTGCATTTATACAAATGGACAGTATTTACAAAAATTTAAATAACCAGGTAAACAACTCATTCTTGGTAAAGTTTTTTTTTTTTTTTGCAATAAATTAATTTTACCACATTTGAATTTATCATGGCACCTAAGCATTCGGCATTGATTTTAAATCAATATGACCAATATTATGCAAGAAATCATGCAAAATGGTAAGGAATTTAAATGAAATAACAAATACACAGGAAATAACAACGAAAAATTGGTATCAAAATTGTTTAAATGTGTTTAAAAAGATGATGACATTGTATGATTAATATAAAACATTTTTTTTATGTAGGTCTAAGACCGAATATGGTTCGATCACGAATGGCAGAAGGAGGATCTCCACTCAACTCACTACCAGGTATTGTACTATGACTATAAGGCTGGAATTTGTGTTTAAATAATAAGTATGCCCAAACGAAAGCTTCATAACTGAATAATGTTGGAGAAATTCTTTTTTGGTTCCTTTTGGTCATAAAGCTACTCAGGTTTTCACATATTTTTACATCCTTTGTCTTTCATATACTAGGTTTGAGTGTTTCTGATGAAGGTAAACCCAGTAAGAGCACTTTGGGTGCACCAAATTTATAAATTGTTATTTTCATCTACAAGCACTGGGTTGATAGGGTATATATCACCAGCTCAGTAGTCAGTACTGACATTATTTATAACACCTGTTCAAAAATTGAAAAATTAAGAGCTTATTAAGTATCTAACTTTTCAACTCGCTCAGGCAAAGTTGACCCTAGAAGAATTTTGCTGGCCCCCAAACCAGACAAAATTTGGAGTGGTAAAGGTAAAAAGTCTGGATTAACCATAAATGAAGCTTCATAAGGGGGTCTGCGGTATGGGTTTTGCTCATCGTTGACGGTGACCTATAATTGTTAATTTCTATGTCATTTGGTCTCTGGTAGTGAGTTGTCTCATTGGCAATTATACCACATCTTCTTATTTTCTTAATAGGACACATCAAATTTATAAAATGTTATTTTCAGTATACAATTGAGTAAAGGCTTTCCAGTTATCTGTAGATTTGAACTATCATGATTATGTGAAATCTTAACAGAACAACATAATTCAAAGAAAAGATTAGGCGAAGACTTCAATTGATATTTCCATTAAATATACACAATTATATTCCAGTAAAAGTAAATATTTGGATTACTCAGACTAGTTTATATTATACATTAGATTATATAGGTGTTTTGTCTTCATTGTAGGAATGATAGGTATTCTGTCACTGCTTGCTGAAATCATCATTTGTCAGGTACATGTTGGATTCAAAGATTTAATATATATCATTAGTTAATCTGGTGGAGTCTCTAGTGTATGGTGTCACGAGGATTGTGTTTATATAACATAGTTTAAATGCCAAAACTTTGATGGACTTTAACAGTCTTGTTGCTTTTCATTTCAGATACACCCTCTAAAGAAAAAGATTTTTTTGGAGCTGAAATATGGGAAAATCTTCGTTCAAAACACACAATGCTGTCATACTGGCGCCGTGGCTTGACAGAAGTTCTAAAAGACCATGAATTTGATGAAGCTGAAGGAAAGAAAGTTATAAATTTTCTATTGTCAAATGTAAGTTTTCAAGTACTTACATGAGCAACGTGACGGGTTTCACATGTGGAGCAGAATCTGCTGTCTCTTCTGGAGCACATGAGATCATCCCCAGTTTTGGGTGGGGTTTGTGTTGCTCAGTCTTTAGTTTTCTATGTTGTGTTTTGTGTACTATTGTTTGTCTGTTTGTCTTTCTATTCTAAAGAACCATACATTCAGTCTCTAACAATAATTAAAATTTTATTATTAAAAGATGATCAAATATTTTTTAAAATAAGGTTGACAATTGAGGTACCTCTAAAGATACAGGAAACCTAACCAACTGAAAAAGGGTAAGAAGATAATAAGGGGTAAAAATAAAAACCCACAAAATAGTCAAAAAGAAAAAAAAAACAAACATTACCATAGCCATGGCAAAAGACAACCAGTAGGCCACATTTAAAACAAGAACTTCATCAAACACCTTCGTAGAACTTGGGTCCCCTGGAGGGTTAGGCAGTTCCTGTTCCACTTATTGCATCCCTCATGTTTTTGGGTAAAGATTGTATGAAATGCAATCAAAACCCTATGGAACTGACTTGATATTTAAATCTTCCAAGGTTTTTATCACTACCTTTGATAGTTAAAACAAAATAGTGCCGTGAAGTGATCATTCTTTAGATTCTATCCAATCAATGTCAAGCAATTTATTAATAATATGTTATAATTAGATATTCAAGTTTCAATATGATGTGTATTTGAATTACTGTACTTGTCGATATTTAAAATAACATAAGTAATGCATGGTGTATGAATCTGTTATAAAAATAGGCTCAACTACAATGTAAAATCATGGACAAAGGAAGATAACTCCAACTCAAATTTATAATTTGCTTAGCTATTAATTACAATTCAATGTTTTATTTTAAAATCACAAAATTGCAAAATGAAAGCAATCTTTACCCTTTCAGTGCTCACAATCACTTTGATTAATCTCACTATGTGATAATCATGTTCGTTTTATTTGTTTTAATTTTATATTATACAACTAGTATTTTTGAACACAGAACAATGCTGTGTTCATCTTTTATTAATAGATTTCTTATATTTTGTTTCAATCTTAATTTCCAAACTGCACTGACTGTTTAAAAACCTTAAGCAATCATTAAATTGAGAAATTTGACTAGTCATTTAACATCACTGATATTAATATTTTGAGGATAAAATCTCTAAGCAAAATATGAGATGCAAATAACTCTTTATAAAATTTTGTGTCAGAAGCACTTTCCTTCATTAGAAATGCTAAAACATTTGAGATGGATGCAAAAATATTAAAAATGAAGCGACATCACAGGAGGAGGCAATATATTTTGTGTTGGAAGACTGTGACCTGTTGATGGTTAGATGCCTACTATATTGGTAGATATTTTGACACTACATTAACAGGTTCAAGCAAACAATTTGACAATGCAATGGCAAAAAACGAAAAACGACCAAAAACAGTAAATAAAACACAACGTAAAAACTGAAGTCTGACCAATACTTTCAGGGGTGATCTCCAACTGGTGCTCCAGAAGGTCAAGCAGATCATGCTACACATGTGACAATATTATTGATTTATTTGCAACTGGACCTTAAGCATCCAATTATCAACACATTTAAGGAATGACTGTAATATTTTTTCTGTCTATGAAGAAATAACATAAAAAATATGGTGCACACTGAATAACCCGCGTAGCGTGTTATTTAAAAGTGTGCACCACATTTTTTATGTTATTTCGAATAGACAGAAAAAATATTAAAGTCATTTCTTATAATTTAATTCTTAAAAGGAGTAAATCATGATAAAAATGTTGATGACGTCGCGGTCACATGACAAAATTATGTCTATGAGCTGATAGACAAAACACTTTCAGCCAATCAGAAGATGTGTTACATCCAAAATTAAATTATTCAGGAATACCACAGTAATTTTTTATCAATTCACATGAATAATTTCTGAAAAAATCAATTTTTAAAATATCTTTAATAGGTAATGAGTGAAATTTGTGTTCTATAAGAATACCAGAATTGTTTTAAAAAAAATAGTCCAGGTATCTGTTTTTAGCTATTTCTTTATGGCATCATTATAATTATATTGTGAACATAAAATCTATTTTTATCTTTTGTAGTTTCGTTTTGCCATATTGGCTGCTAAGGAACACGGACCTGGTGCAACAGTCAAGATACTTTACAACTTAGTCCCTAATCATTTGAACTTGGTCAGCTGGCGGAGGATATTAGTTGGAATGAATTTAGTGTTAGAAGAACCTGATACAAATAATGACATTAGACTTATAGGAATCACTTTATCTAAAAAACATAAAATTGAAATGATTATAAAAACGTTAGACGAATTTTCCAGATTGTTAGTATTGCTGAAAGGTGAGTTAAAGGACATTTATACATGGTAAATATTCCTGAGTTTCAAATACATATCTTCTTTATGATATATGAAACATGTGTGCAAGACATATTACAAAAAATACTGAAATTATAAAAAAGAAGTTGTGGTATGATTGCCAATGAGACAACTCCCCACAAGAGACCAAATGACACAGAAATTAACAGCTATAGGTCACCTTACGGCCTTCAACAATGACAATGAGCAACGCACATACCGCATAAAAGGCCCCAAAATCACAAATGTAAAACAATTCAAACAAACGACAACCACTGAATTACAGGCTCCTGACTTGGGACCGACACATACATACAGAATGTGGAGGGGTTAAACATGTTAGCGGGATCCCAACCCTCCCCCTAACCTGGGACAGCGGTGTAACAGTACAACATAAAAACGAACTATAAAAATCAGTTGAAAAAGGCTTAACTCATCAGATGGATACAAATAGAAATACATATAACAAAAATACAGAGTGGACGTGAACGGGTACTTGTACATCCCAACAATAAAAAGACATTAAGTACAGATCTGAGAGTACTTACAGTTACTGACAGCTAGTTCAAAGCCAATAACAACTAATAAAAAAAAATCACATCACACCTCCAGTAAGTATATCTAGCATATTTACCTTTATCATTAGAAAAGTAGGCTTTAAATGAGTTGCAGCAAATATATTTGCATTCAGATTTACCAACCGACCATTTAATTAAATAGGAAAACTTTTGTTTGATAAGATTGTATGGAAGTGTAGTGTGAAAAGTTGAAAAGTTAAAACTGTCAACTGAATCAAAAGGACCATCAAAAGCACGTAATTTATCTACAACATCCAAAGAATTTTTTACACTCCAAAAATAGTTAATTCCACTATTTTTCATATATTTTATTACAAACGTTTATGATAAGTTCTTTGATAGTAGTTAAGTAACTAGATAAAAGCACTGAAAGATTAGTTGTAGAATACTTACTAGAGGCCGAGATGAAATGATATTTTACTGGTTTTTTGTGGTGTTTAGGTAACCAATACATAGTAGGGACTTTCAAATGTTCAGAAGAGGCCTTAAGCTGTGATGTGGTTATGATATATTTGTTTACTATATGACTCTCTGTGAAGCGCACGGATTTGAATGTAGATGAATTTAAAATTTCATTCTTAAGAACGTCCATGTAGTATTTACAGCTGCTTTGTCGGTCTTTACAAACACAAACCGCTTTGAAAGTTCTTGAAGTTAATTTCTTATTCTGGAAATAGGCGTATTGAGTACTCTTTTATTTATTTCTGAATTAATTTCAAAATGTGATATTCGAATATCCACAACATTCATACATTTATTTAAATACGAATCAAGAGATTTTTTATCAGATTTTTATTCCCGTTTACACCAATTTTTACAAAACGAGGAAGACTACTTTTGTTTAGAGATTACGCCTGTTACCTGGATTTTATTTGTCAAATACGTGGATGCGGTGCCCAGAGTGGAACCTTGGAAATAAGGAAAAGTGTTACACTGAAAATTGACCAACAGATTAGCCACAATTTGAAAAACATTTAACAACATTGCCTAAGCTTTGGAAAATATCTATCATACTGAGTCAACAAATATGATCTACAATACAAAATCAGAGACAAGGAGTCAGTCATTTAGTAGTATAACCTCATCAAAGTTTAATAACAGGCTTGTAATTTTGTATGCCAACAAAATGCTTATCTAGGGGCCCCTAATTAAAACAGTTGAAGACCGAATCAATATTAAGGAAGTCAGAGAGCATTCAAATGCAATAATTTTGAAGAAAAAAGAAGTGCTAAATTAAATCTGGTTAATACGTAACTTGTATTGCTTTTTATCAACATATGTGTATATGGATCAGATGTGTGTTTTTTTATCAAAAGTATGTGAAACAGCACTTAATAAATTGTAGATAAATTTCTGTCATATTATTGTGGTTACTGTTTTGTTCATTTTATAGCGAATTTCTATATAGTTAAATGTACACTTACTGAAAGAAACTTTTCCAATCTAGTTTATATTTAAAATAGTATATATAATTATGATCATAAAAAGAAATTACGGTTAGATAGAATTTTCTTCTTATCTTCAGATTGCAATTGGCAAGTATTGCAGACAATTCTCGATATGGACCAAGGTTATCCCATGGCTCTACTTGAAATAGTAAGTTATCACTTGTCTTTAACATATTTTAATGAGTCGTAAAAGATATAAAAATGTATATTTCATTAAAACTTAAGGAAAAATAAATTTTACCATTGGTACTTTAGTAAAATCTTCCCTACTCTTTACAGGTGCATCCCATTACACTTTAAGAGTAAATGCCCAATATTTTCTTGTACTGAATGATTATGTGAAGCAGAAGACCGAATTTCTTTTGTGGTGCAAATTTAGATGGTTAATGCATGTTGTTTATAAGTTTAGTTTAAAAAAAAAAGAGGTTGACGAATCCAGGGGGACATTCAAAGCTCATCAGTCATATAAAAACTTACCACACCAAGGCTACGAAAATACAAACAAGTCCACAATACACTACATAAAGAACTTAAGACTGAGCAACACAAACCAAACCAAAAATTGGGGGTGTAAAAGATAAAGACAGTTCAGACATTTTTTTGTCTATATTACACTTTATTAAAGAAGCATTAAACACACTTTTGAAAATTAATATTATCTCTATGTTTTTATTTCTTTGTAGTTGGATTATTGCAAGGTCCATGATACTGCACCTGTATCAAAACAAAAGAACTTAAAAATTTTGTATGAAATAGACCATTTTTCAATGCGTCAGTTAGGATTTTATCGTGCAAATCCAGCAGAACCAGTGTCATGGTCTCGGCCTGCAACTAATGCTCATTTGACGTTCATTTCTATATTATACGCATTGTATGGATCTTTAATAAGAGAATTTCCACGTTCTAACAACTTTCATAGCTTACCTGTTCTTTGATGTCTTCTTCTTTGACTGTTATGATGGATGACTGATGACACATGATGTACCAGGTATAAAATACGAATATCAGAAAAATGCCATTATTTCCATGTATTAACATTATATTATCATTTATATGTTGTTATCTTAAAAAGATATGTTGTATGTTGTATGATGTATGGATGTTATTTTTTATGTCAATATTAGAATAACTTTGATATACTGAATAAAAAGATTTATTACATAGACAAGAAGGATAAGCTTCAAACTTTAATGGACAGACCTACCTCATCACTGATATTGGTCTTTTTTTGTTATTTTAATTTAATGCCTTTCAATAAACGCCTGTCGTTAAGTGCTTAAATAGTTAATATTTTTGTCGAGCCTGCGACATTTGTCGCAGAAAGTTCGACATAGGGATAGTGATCCGGGGGCGGCGGCTACGGCGGCGTAAGCTAACTTCTTAAAAGCTTTGTATTTTAGAAGGTGGAAGACCTGGATGCTTCATACTTTGTATATAGATGCCTTATATTACGCAGTTTTCGTCTGTCACATGTCCATTGGCCATGACCTCATTTTAATGGTTCAGTGACTACTTGAAAAAAAAGTTAAGATTTTTTGTAATGTTAACTTCTCTCTTATAATGAGTAATAGGATAACTATATTTGGTATGTGCGTACCTTGCAAGGTCCTCATACCTGTCAGACAGTTTTCACTTGACCTCGACCTCATTTCATGGATCAGTGAACAAGGTTAAGTTTTGGTGGTCAAGTCCATAACTCAGATACTAGAAGCAATAGGTCTAGCATATTCGGTGTATGGAAGGACTGTAAGATGTACATGTCCAACTGGCAGGTGTCATCTGACCTTGACCTCATTTTCATGGTTCGTTGGCTATAGTTAAGATGTGTTTTGGTCTGTTTTTATACGACTGCAAAAAAATTTTAGGAATTAGGGGCCAAAAGGGGCAAAAAAACAAGCATTTTTCTAGTTTCAGGACATTAACTTGTGTGTAAGTGTATGGATCTTTATGAAATTGTACTACAAGGTTCCATATCACAAAGGGAAAGCTGGGTTTGAGTTTGGGGGTAATTGCCATAAACGTTTAGGAAGTTGGGGCCAAAAAGGGGTAAAAAAACAAGCATTTTTCTAGTTTCCAGACAATAACTTGTGTTAAGTGTACGGATCTCTCTGAAATTGTACTGCAAGGTTCCATACCACAAAGGGAAGGCTGGGATTGAGTTTGGGGGTGATGAATCATAAGGGGGTTCAAAAAATTTGAGGGGGGATTTTTTTTTCCTTTTTTTTCTTTAAAATTTTCCATTTTAAATTGGTTATTTCTGATTTATATATAAAAGCAAGTAATAATGATATGGTTTGAATAGGTTTTTTAGTTCTTAGACCACATTCATTCTGTGTCATAAACCTATGCTGTGTCAAATATTTAATCACAATCCAAATTCAGTGCTGTATCAAACTTGAATGTTGTGTCCATACTTGCCCCAACTGTTCAGGGTTCGACCTCTGCGGTCATATCAAGCTGCACCCAGCGGAGCATTTTATTCTTATACTGTATGCTATAGGTCTACTATATTTGGTGTATGGAATGATTGTAAGGTGTACATGTCTAGCTGGCAGGTGTCTTCTGACCTTGACCTCATTTTCATGGTTCAGTGGTCAATGTTAAATTTTTGAGTTTTGGTCTTTTTTTCTAATACAATATGCAATAGGTCAACTATATTTGGTGTATGGAAATATTTTATGATGTACATGTCATTTTGGCCGGTTTTATTTGACCTTGACATAATTTTCACGGTTCATAGCTCAGTGTTAAGTTTTTGTGTTTTGGTCTGTTTTTCTATTACTATAAGCAATAGGTGAACTATATTTATTGTATGGAAGGATTGCAAGCTGTACATGTCTGCCTGGCATGGTTCATCTGACCTTAACCTCATTTTCATGGTTCATTAGTCAATGTTTAGTTTTCTTGCTTAAGTCTGTATCTTAGAAACTATAAGCAACAGGTGAACTATATTTAGTGTATTGAATGATTGTAAGGTGTGCATGTATTTCTTGTTTGGTTTATATGACCTTGACCTCATTTTCTTGGATCATGTTAACTTTATTTGATAGTTGTAGTAAAGCTTTATATTTAGAACTATCAACATAATATCAATGATTACTAAAGAAGGCGAGACATTTCAGCGTGTGCACTCTTGTTTTACACTTTAAACAATTTTCAAAACTTCATCCTGACAAATAAAAAGAAATAAGGCTTCATGTTCTGTAAGTTTTGTATGAGTAAAGATTGTTACACCATAGCCAGATTGCCACAGATTAGTGACTAACAACCACTGGGACGATGCTACTGCTTGTGAACGTCTCCGAAGGTATCACCGGCCCAGTATAGTCAGCTTTGTGTGGACATGAAATATCAATGACATAGTCTTTACCTGTAAAGGTACTGTTTATGAAATGTTGAAATTATTCGAAACAGATAGGTTTTAAACCACAAGGCATAGATTGCCATAGCTTCAGTTGGCACAACTTATCGGATTTTTTTCGGTTTTTAATGCTCTTCAACATCGTTTTTCATTTGACCTTACAACTGTTTTGATTCGAGCGTCACTGAAGAGTCCTATAGACGAAACGAGCATCTGGTGTACCAAATTCCATGCTTGGTATCTTTGATATCTTAATTTAAACCCTCTTCCAACCTATGCTAGACGTTTCAAACACACTGCCAGTTCGACCACAGTCGTTTCGGCCATACTGCCAGTTTGCCCTTACTTTTAACAGCCGTTTCGGGGTTGTAATGTTATGAAGGAATGGAAATATTATTGTTTTTAGAAACAGACGTGAAGAAATAAATGGAAAAAACCATGGGCGGATCCAGGGGGAGAGTTCCGGGGGTTGGAACACCCCTTTTTTTTGACGATCAATGCATAAGAATGGGGACATCTTGTTGGAACCCCCCCCCCCTTTTATCCTGGGTTGGGAACCCTCCCTTTTGAAATTGGCTGTATCGGCCCCTGAAATACATATTAATAATAAACTTATATTCATTGATAAGAATGTGTATATGAATGTTATAAGAATATTTGTAAAATAGGGATTATTAATAAAAAAAAATGACTTAATCGGTCCTTATCTACTGAAATTTTTACCCAAAATATCTATATTTTAAATTATGATAGGCAATAATATATAACAAAATATATTCCAACCCAGCAGCCAGTACTTTGGTTTTAGCCATGATGAAATTACTGATATTGTTTGATTTGAATTTGCTGCCAGTTATAATATTTAAAATTTCGAAATCATTTAAATTAAGGAATGTAATTCCATTATGCATAGCTCTGAGTCCTTGTTCAGGTTTGGATTTACTTTGGTACTTTTTGATTTTACCAGTTCTTTAACGTTTGTATAAGGTTTAGGACATTCAAATATTTTGACCTCGAAGAGACATTTTAATTGTCGAAATGTGCATCTGGTGCTATAACATTGGAACCATTATTGTAAATAAATAGATATTTTTAATCAAGTTTGGTTAACATTCAATGAATAACAAAGGGAAAAGGGTACACTTATATTAACACCAAGTCCAAGTTTCAAGGGAAAAAGGGTGAGGCTCACTATTTGATATGTAAACCCAAAAGTAAAAAGAAACCATAATTATAGTCAACATTATATACAGAATCTTGTATGAAGATTTTATGAAAATAAGTCAAATAGGAAAGGAAAAAAAGGGATAAATCGCATATTGAAAACTTGTGTCCCTCTTAGTATAAAACGGAACAAAATGCATGGCATTTATAGCAAATTTTTGACTTAAAACGATTGGAAAGCTCGATAAGTACTAGACATGCAAACAATACATAATTTACATAGGAAGATGAATTTATCATGGCATGGAAAGTCTACAAGATATCTACAAATGCAGTTGTCTAGGTATATATTCTTGTAACATTTGACAAACCAATTGCATGTCTATTCGAAAAGAAAAAAGGAATACTGATATAAAAATGTATCGGTGCCGATACTATGGTATGAAGTGCTTGCACAATATTCGATTCAAAAAGGTCTCCATTTGGTTTGAAAGCTCACCAAACATGTCAGGATTTGAGACTACTTGCGGGTTGTTTTTGTTTTTAGAGAGAGAAACGAGAAGTTTCCAGACCATCAATGTGAAGACGTTAGCAAAAAACTTCAAAATGCCTCAAATCATACCAATCAAAAGCATTTTAACAATTATTGTCTCTCCAGTGATATTCGATACGCTATCAATTTATTTTCCACGAAAATGATCATGGTTTCTTTTTCACAGACAGTTGTGTACACTATCTGTATCTGTTAGTTTTTATGGAGAGACAAAAAACCAACATCATGCCCACACTCGTGAAGCCAGTTCAGCAAGAAATTATAGCAGTGCTGCATGCTGAATGATTAATTTATCTCTGAATCACTATTTCATAATAAGACTGAGCTTATTGACATTTAAAAAATATTATCGACACACCTTACCTGCTTATCTCGTTTATCGTTTATCACATTTTCTCTGTAGAATTAAATCTGCGATCAGCCTTTTGAGCGCATGTTCTAAGACTAGTTTGTTCAATAACGGAACGGTTTTGCACACGCTGATACACTTTTTACATGAACTTGATAAAGTATAAGATCTAAAGGAAACTTTCTGATTGCATCTGAGACTATTTTAAAATGTTATAGTAGTCTCATATTCAAAACGAATTGGCCTAGAAGACGGTGACAAACACTATCTTGCCGCATTTTTTTTACTCTAAATTAACCAATTTTACGGCACCATATGCGTATTTCGACAATGAATGTCTCTTCAGTGATGTACTAGGGTCCACTGTGGCCGAGTGGTAAAAGTAGTCGAACTAGTGTGTTACTAGCCTGTCAACACTGAGGTTGTGAGTTCGAATCCCACACGTGGCAGGAGCGCTCGACTCCAATCTTAATTGACTAGGATTGTCAGTTTTCCTAATAGCTGACCACCATACTGAAAGTGGCGTTAAACACGACAATCGATCAGTGATGTCCGGAGCCAAAATATTTGAAAATAATAAACTTTTTGTACAAACATTGAAGAGTTGATACAATCGAAAAGGACCAAACGATAGCCAGCCATGACAAGAGTATTTTTCCTCTTTTCTGTTGCCTTTGACAAATGTTGGAGGAAGACATTTTTCAAACAATGAATAATCCCAATTAACTTGAGTCTACTCTTTTT